GACCGACAGACCGACCGACAGACCGACAGACCGACAGACCGACAGACCGACAGACCGACAGACCGACCGACAAACAGACAGACCGACAGACAGACCGACAGACAGACAAGCGCAAGCATGCATACATAAATGCATGCATTACATGAATTACAGACATTACGGGCATTACAGATATTACAGACAGTGCAGGCAATACCGACGTTACAGATGTTACAGATAATTTCAGACACTACAGACATTGCAGACAGCCAGACAGACAGACAGCCAGGCACCCATACATGCACCCGTACAAACATACTGACATACTGCATCCCATGCACGCATGCGTACGTACAATCATGCACACTGCCGTGTCCGAAGACTGGACAGCGACTCGGCCTTCTAATTTCCCGCATGCCGAAAAGTGCCGACTTTGCGCAAGCAGGGCCGGGCCGACTTCATCCGGGAACAGAAAGGGCAACGAGAGTTGGCATTTTGTCGCCCGAGTCAATCAGGGACGCATTGGACACAGGCTTTCTCCGACATGGATCTCCAATAAAGCGCGCAGGCTCCAGGTGCATTTGAGTGCGTGACTATAGATTAAGAACAATTATTAAGAGCAGAAGAACTGTGCGAAAACGGCGGGTCGACGACCCGGGGGGAATTTGTAAAAGTGCTGGGGACAGTTGATATGACGAAGCCCGAGTAGGAGAGGAAATAAGTTTCAGCAAACGGGAGGGAGGTTCGGACAAACAATGCCTAGCACCACAGACAAATACTGGGAGGGTTTAAGCTGTCGCCCATTGTGATCGGTGCAGCTGAGAGTTTCAGAAGACAAGGAAACCGTAAGGCCGCCCAAAAAAGTATCAAAAGTACCTTCCACCGGTCCAGATCCGGAGATGCCTTCCGGCACAAGCTGTCATGTATGCACACTGTAGACGCATGGTAAGTATGATGAGGAGCTGTCGATCCAGCGCCTACAGTATGTGTCACGCCGGGTTGTCTCGGGCCAGGATCGGATGTTGAAATGTCGGAACCCGGCCGGCTAGGTTCAAGAGTCCTGTCCAAGGCTTTGTTAACATGATCGGCGCTTTCTTTCGGGCATACGGCGAGACGAACTAGCAAGAAAAAGAGAAGAATCTGCTTTGTGTTCGGTGTGTTGCTGTTTTAGCACAAACAGGGGGAGCCTGGTTACCTGGTTCCCAATCTGGAATCTCGATTTTCTCTCGGGAAGATCAATTCGCTGGCTTCCTGCATTGGCTGTCTTTGTTGAAACATTTTTTCGCTCAGGACTTGGCGGGTCGAAAAAGAACTGGCAGTATCTTTGTTTGATAGGTGCGCTGAGGGTGACGAAGCAGAAACGTTGAAGGCCCTCGTTTGAGGTCGTTTGAGCGGTGGGCCGAACAAAAGAATACGTGGGGCGTCGTTTTCTTTTCGGCATGTTGTGGGTGGAGCCCACGCAGGGGGCCGTATGCACTGACGTATCCAAGAAGCGATGGCTTCAAGCTCGAGAAATCCCACACCGAGATTGAAAGCAAGTTTTGCATGATACACAAGTTCGGTATGTCGAAAGATGAGTCGGGCGTGACAAAAAAACCCGAAGCCATAAAGATAACCCCCAAGCACAGCAGGATGCCACAAAACCGAAATATTGAATTGAGGGACTGCAGGACCATGGACCGAGGGCGCTGATTGCATTTGCGTACGGACACTGCGAAAACAAAACACAAATCTCCTTCCCCACAACGGTCAAAAGGTAGGTGCCGCTTTCGGTTAGCATGTTCAGACAAGGAGATGTAGAAGAACCTTCCGAACAACCCCCCGACAGTGAACATAACTTCGTACAACGCTAGCATACTCTAGTGATCTCTAACGCATAGCGATGTGAAGGGCCCGGTTGACCCAGGCCTTCTCTTGAATGCTCTCTTGTCGGCCCTGGATCGACTGATCGATGAAGTCCACCAGTCTGTGCTGCTCCTTCCAAAGGATGGATCTGTGGCGTTCGGTCTGTGCCTGAGGATGATTCAGAATCCCCGTATCGCTTCACCCTGCTCCCTAGTCGGAGCCGTCTGCAGATGCAGAGGTAACGCACTGGCTAACTGCAAAAATGCAAGAGCTGACTGCGTGTGGAATGGAATGGAACAAACGCAACGTCTGATCGAAGACTGTTTGCCCAGCTCAATGCAATCTGACCATGGAGTCGGCGAACACAGAGAATGAGAGACGGTAGAGGGCATGTGCACTCTCTCGCCCACATAGGCACAGGTTGCTTCCAAAGCAGGGCCTAAGTTTGAGGACACTTGCAGCATGTCCGGTCCCAAAACCAACACGACACCGATGGATGCAACGAGGGACCAGATCAGCTAGGTTAGATTTCTACGGCGAAAATGACCGACCTTCAATACCTCGCAAGAGCGTCCGTGTTCCACCTGTGAACAAATATCCGGAAGCCGTGCAGTCAAAGAGCTACAGGTCAGCATCTTGGCCCAGTCCTTTCCCTTCTTGATCAAGTCCGACGTCAAGGCGCGCATGCGCTCTAGCAAGAGCTCTTCGCGAGACTGCGAGGAGTAAGACATGCGCAGGTGAAGGCGGTCGCATCGTATTGGAAGCTCACAAAACTGGAAAGTCGCTCAAGAGCTGTGGTAGCACTTTGCCTTCTTCTCCCTCTGAGACGCCGCGGATGTCGTGGGCCTCTTGTCAAAGACGAGGACCGACACATCAACGCACAGATACATCTTGCTCTTTGGACAAGTAATCTTCTGCCCCATTGCAACGGCCTACGAGCATCAGCTCTAATGTTGTCTCTTTGCTTCGCTGCACTCTTCTGGCCAGCCTGTTGGTGGTATCCAGAAGGTCTTGGACTCCTGACTGCGGACTGTCCTGGGTTACTAGCTCAGAGATTGATCTTACGCCAAATCATGCAGTTCCTATGCAGCCGTCAGCTACTGATGCGGGCTTTCACGGATGCAGTCTTGCTGCAATTCACCTCGGGCGGGGTCAAGCGGCCAGAGGTTCGGACAGAAATCCTCTGTCGCCCACCCCTGCATCCACTTCCCCATTGCCAAACAATGGCCCACTCTCTGCCCAATCGGTCTACTGCCGGTCCTCCAGCACCACGAGCATGTCCCATCATGCTGCTGCACCACATGAATCAAACACTTTCACAAAGAATATGCGATCACCGGTTCGCATGCCCTCTCCACCGCCCTGCCATGAAGATCATGAAGCAATGGGCCGGACGAAAAGTTTGCCATGTTGGATTTTGGAAGGTCCGCTATTCCACACACAAGCCTTCGAAACCGAGGTCCCTAGAAGTCTTTCAAGTCGCTCTAATCATGCTTCGCCGAGGCACTTGCTTAACGACCTGAGGGCCCTGAGGAGTTGTCCCGCCAAGCCTCTTGCTGGGTCACATCTTGGACATGCATCAGGACAGCAATGAGTCTGACTTACTGCCCTGAACCCTTAAGTCCTGAACCGCAAAGCCCCCTTGTGCCCGCGATAAAAAGGACCACCTTACACCGACTTACCCTAAGAACCTGTTAGCTGGCTATCCAGGCCCAGAGCGGCCAAGGCACGTCTTGAGCCAGTCTTCTTCTCGCGGGCCCTCTGCATGTTTCATGTGAAACTTTCGCAGCATTGCATTCACCTGCAAAGCGCCGGCTTCGACAGTGTCCAGTGTTGGTGCAGCTCATAATATAGCTCGTATCTCCTGCCGCGGCTAAGCTGACAGCTGGCACGGGAATCAAGTAGCAGCCCCTGGAAATCTGCCCGAAGGTAAATGCAATCTTCCCTTTCCGGGAGTCCTGAGCCATTCTGACTGACGACGCAGGGCCAATTCATGACGACAAAGTTCGATTCATGACACTGGCATTCGCGACGCAGTCTGGTGATTCAGGGCTTGCTCTGTGTTCACAAAGCTGGGGGCGCCTGGCCGTGGCCTTTGTTCGAACGGGCTCGCAAGGGGGCGAGGGGCCAAAAAACACAGTGCATGATGATCCCGGAGCATCCCGGAGCTATAGCATGGCTTGCCGCTCACTCAAGGGCAATGCTTCTCTGCATGACATGCCGAGGAAGTGGGGTATTCCCGCGAAGTCCTGCAGTTGCCCAAAAAAATGTGTGGGCGGGGTTGAGGTGAGGGCTGATTGCTGTAATGGAGTCCATGGCTAGTGCTGCTGCTGTTACTCTTGCTGCGACTTCACTACTACTTTCAGCAAGACTCCTTCGACTGCCCGTAGCAAAAGTCTTAACACCTCAGACCCGAAAGCCAAATCCCAAACCCAGAGCATTGCAAAGCCGGAGTCCCAAACACAACACCCTAAGACCAAATCTCCAACCCGGAGCAGTGCAACCACGAAGGCCCATCTGTGCACCCTGCCCAGAGCTGTGCCACCCGAAAACACCAAGCCCACAACAACCCAACATCAGCATAAGCACAAAATTAGTGGCTGCCCCAAAGCGCTGTTGTTGCAGAAAACACTTGCAGTCGTGTGAAAACGCTCGATTCGCCAACCTAACCTAGGCTGCGCATGTTACGGACGGGAAACAACTGTGGGTTTTTACAGATTCCCCAAATCAGCATAGACATGCATACGTCCACTATGTAGTAACCAACGTTTTCATTAAAAGCAAGGCCATACAAGACCGTATGTCGTCGGGGCTGTGTTGGCGGGAGCGTTGGCAACAAACAAGTAGATCACGCGTCATGAATCATAGGCGCCTGTGTCGTGAAACGCACTTTCGGTGACGTAGGGACGTAGGGGTTTGAGGCGACAGCAACCGGGCAAAACCCAGCGGAAGTATGCGGAAGTGAAAGAGGCAACACTACTGACTATCGAAGTTGGGAATTACCTGACCACCTGCGAGTTCTTGGCACAAACAGCCCCTCTTCGATGGTTTGCGGGTAACAGAGCGCATGGCTGCAGGAAGCATGCAGCAAACAGCGGAAAATGTCCTTTGCGGAGATATGGAGATATTCCGGCATGCTACATTGGTGCCCAGTCGCTTGCTCGGACAATGAGAGCAACTTGTTGGTGTTGGTCCTTGCAGGCAGCTGTTATACACAGTTTTCTGCACAGAGTGTCGTGGGTGTGGTCGACAGGGGATGGCGGTTGGAATAAGAAGGGCCGAGTACCGCACGGCTGTCGACGAAGCAGACAAGGCAGCAAGTACTGTGCCAGACATTGAAATTACTTTGATTGGCCTGCTCGGACAAAGTCGCTAATCTTCTTTCCATTCATAGTTCAGTTTCTGTTGGCCCGAGCATCTCATGCAAAGATGAGGTCAGAACTTTGAGGACTTCGCAGCAAGCACAACCAGTGGCACGAGAGTGTCCTCGCTTGACCGATCATCCGCACGCCGTCGGAGACAGAAAGGTCGATCTTCTTCGCCTACTAGAGGACACGGGCGCCAAGCTAAATGGTCGAGGCAGATAGTCTTGAACCTCCGAAGCCTTCTCCGAGTCTGTGAACATGTTCAGAAGTTTTAGTTCAGGTGCGGTAGCACCGTTCCAAATTACGTTTCAATCAAATCTTCAGGAGAGATAGGCTACCCCAAACGCTAAACTAAACCCAATATGTCACTGCTGATTCAATCGTCCACAAGCTTGCCTGTCTCGGAGTAACGAATTGCTTCGAACATCCAAGCAGCCAATATTTTCAATTGAGCAATCCAGCCTGAATCTGTCATCAAACCCCTACACCCCGGGGACGCTCCCATACCTGAGAGAGGGGAATGATGAACAGGACCTGAAATCCAGCACCAATCCCCTTGAACGTCACGAAAGGAACCCACTGATGCTTTGGATGGCGACCGATGACAGGGGTTAGTGAGGCTATTGTCAAGGTCGCTCAGATGAGCGCACCTTGCAGGGAAACTGCTGCCAGGTGTTCACAAGTCTATCCTCGTTGGATAGGATCGAAAGGGCCCGTGAGGCTTTGGAAGGCTCGCACTGCAAGACCGCAGGATCAACCTGCTTCTTGGCAAACGCGGACGCGTTCTCGATCAAGTACTCAGCATTTTGCTTTGTCATCCTGCGTTCAGAACAAGCGGTGAATTATGCTTCAAAGTTGCTGCTGTCACAGCAGACAGTGCAACGAGTAAACGACAGCGTGTGAATGAGCCAGTTCTCGAGTCCTGTCTTTGGAGAAAGCTTTCTTTAAACTTCGCACCGTGACCTTCGGGAGACGGATGGCAGAACATGTCCGAATCTCCTGGGCTACGCATTCGTCTAGAGCCCGGGGACGAGCTCTGCAGGATGCGCAGGAAAATCATCATCTTCGAGCTCGCAGATGATGTACCACCTTCAGACATTTTGGCCCACAGTGAGATCGAATGCTGACATGACCCCACGTGGAGAAAGATGGGTCTTGAGCAATCAACTGTCAACACTGAGAGATGCCAGGAAACCGAAGACACTCTCGCTTCCAATGTCACTCACCACGCAAGCAGGCCACATGTTGATGAAAGACTTGGTATCCTTCAGCGTGTCCACAGCTTCACTCACCTGGCTTCCGGTCTGGCGCTTTCTCTTGCGGCTCACGTACCATGATACGAACACGGCAGTTGCTCTAATCAATCACAATTTCTGCATGTCACGTCCTTCACAGCACATCAATACAAAGCGAAAGTCGCCTGCTCCAGCAAAGTGGGTGGCTCGCCTGCATTGGCGTGGATGCGACCGTAGGCCTGCACCCATCTGCATCGGATTCGCTTGCGGCTCTCCTACCTGCATCTCCGTTTCTCGTCTGGAGGAGCATTGGGAGGAGACGTCGTATCTTCGATCGGGAGCCTCAAAAATGAGGCCGACCAAAATGTTGATCATCAATGTACCTGGCATGATTGCCATGCACATAGGCGGTTCAGCTCGACACCCTCCATTCTCAAGCCCTGAGTGGAAGGGATTTAGGATGGCTTGCGCCATTTAGGCGAGACTGTTTTTCTCCGTTGGTCCCCGACGAAGGATCCAGCCGAATTCTGACATGCGGACCCCGATTCAATGGAACTGCGCTGGTTGCGTTGTACTTTCCCTGCAACAGCTTGTCCCGAAGGCACAGGGTACGTAGCATTTTGGACCCACACTTGCTCACTATGTCGGCAGGCATTTGACATACGGAGTACAGTTCTCCTGACACCGGTACTAGTGACAGGACTGCACAGAACAAGGGTTCAGACTCACAACATCACAACAGCAAGGCTCTCTGGCGGCAAGGCGGCTCATCAAGGCCAAGTACGTGAAGTACCAGAAATAAGCCAGCACCTGCACAACATGAGGCTCTCCTGCTTGTTGGCTTGGTGCTTGTGATGTGTCGGGTGCGAGGACTAAGCGGAAGATGGCCCTTTGCACACCTGATACCAGACTTCATACACATCGATATCGTCCATACCAACGCCGGAGCGCCAACAGAAGAACCTCGGCTGGACTGCGGAGCAGTTCGCGCTCACTGATCTGCTGTCTGTCTTTGCGAGGCAAAGACCCCTCTACATTCTCAAGGCTGCTGTGTCCGTGAGACAAACATCATCTTGAAACTCCAAATCCCAGCAGCAAGGAGTAGATGAAGGTGTGGAAGCCTTCCACTGTGTAGCCGAAGAGAACCATGCCAGCTGATGCGAAGCACAAGAAGACCTTTCAAGCCACACGGGGCGGACAAGCTGCCACACCGCGGTGCACGTCGCGGCCTCTAAGAGGTTTCGTGACTTGCTCTAAAGCTGTTGCTGCGACGAGCACAACGAGACTCTGACAATGAGATCACTTGTGGACTTTGTGGACACTGGCCGTACGAGGTTTAAAGCGGCAGCACGCTTTTTGGTCCATGCTGTAGTCACATAGTGCCCCTAACAACCCTTACTGTTCAGCTGAAGTACTAATGCAAAAGCGATCGCGAAGTGGATCACGTCTGTCGCAGAGTCTGTAATGGTTTGGATGACCTGGTGGCGCGCGCATGTTCACATGCTGACTTGACCCGACTTGCTCTGCTGGTGGGTGGGGGGCGAAAGATCCGCCCCGGACTCCCACTATACTTTAGGATGCATCAGGAAAACAATTCCATGCAGTCTGCCACATGCTGCCCTTGCTACGCATCAGCTGCGAACAAGGAGCCACATCCAAGCGGTCATTGGATCCTCACTGAAGACGACTAAAACCCGTTTCATGGCGTGAAGTGTAAGAATTAACAATTAATCGCTTACATTCAGCTGTCGCCCTTCGCTTGTGCTTGTTCCTACACACACAGAGACACGGAGACTGCACCTGTTACTCAACAAGCATCGCACTAAAGGTCGAAGCGCTAGCCAAAAGCTACGGGCGTGAACTATCCTTGTTGGTCGTAGCTCGAAGGAGCGCCCGGCCGGACACACTGCCCACCAAACCCAGAGTCTGTGCGGGACGGTGCCAAGTCAAGGAATCGCTCACAGGTCGATGTCAATCGGCGCTTCGTCGAAGACGACCATAATCTCATCTCTGCCCAGGCGCGTGACCTGCAGCCCCACATGGCCCCACGAACTGGCGTCCGAGACGTTAGCCGCGTAAATGCACGCTCTGGGTGGCGAAGCCCTCCAGGTGCTCTGAGTTGACCACGCCGCAGTCGAAGAAGACGTGGTTGCCCAAGAGAAGGGCGAAGCAAAGTCCGGGCGATGCCGTAGTAGCCGACGTCGAAGTGGCCGGCGTGGTGTCGCCGACGAGGTACCGAGGGGGTCGCCCCATCGTCATCCGGCACAGCCAGCGAACCTCTCCGCCCAAATCGGGGCGGGGCCAACCGGCCGGCGAAGGTGAAGGCCAAGCCGGGGTGGAGATGGGTGGAGGGGGGGTGGGAGAGGGGGGGCGCGACGGCGATAGGATCTAAGTCGCAAACGGCAAAGGATTCAAAGGGTCGAGCAGGAGTTCGTAAACACACTCTGTCTCTGTCTGTGTCTCTGTCTCTGTCTCTCTGTCTCTCTGTCTCTGTGTGTGTATGTGTTTGTGTGTGTGTGTGTGCGTGTGGGTGTGTGTGTGTGTTTGTATGTGTTTGTATGTGTGTGTGTGTGTGCGTGTGGGTGTGTGTGTGTGTGTGTGTTTGTATGTGTGTGTGTGTGCGTGTGTGTGTGTTTGTATGTGTGTGTGTGTGCGTGTGGGTGGGTGGGTG